GGGCTTTTCGTCCTTTAGGTAGATTACCCAGTTCCCAAGTTTGGTTGTCATTTAGTGAAGTAATTTCACTCTGCATAGCGTTTTGCCATTTTTCTTTATCAGTAGAATCCATCGCTTCTTTAAAGGTCGAAGGTTCAGTAGGTTTGTGAACATTTTCAATTTCTTCCGCTGCGGCTAAGATAAAATCATCATAACGCCTAGGAGCTGTGATATTTGATCTACTTCTTAGTGACCTTATTTGAACGGAGGCGTTTTCTACATTGTCATTACTGTTTACTGCTTCTCCGAACCCGTATTTAACAGGGTCTTCAATATTAGAAGAACCAGAAAGTGAGTCGTAGTCACTTTCAATATTTGTTGGTTCCTGAATATTTTGTTCCAAAATTGTATTGTTATCATTTTTCGTGTCAACATTGTTGTCATATTTATCAATGTCATCAAGCGACATAGTAAGTTTCTTTTGTAGTGTTTGTTGTGAAGACAATTGTTGAGGTTTTGCTGTAGACTCAATTTCATTAAAAAGTGTTGAAATTCCGTACTTGTTTTCTTCGTAGTACATGCATTTCATAATTCGAATATCTTTCGAAGTAATGATTTTGTTTTTCGAAGGAATGTAGATTCTGAAAGCTTTTGACGTTTCAGAGTATCCCACAAACATCCCTGGAATTGCTTTAGGTGCAAATTTGTGACCATTAGATCCCTTTTTCAAAACAAAAGTCTTACTACCAAATATATATAGATGATTTACACAGGGCTTTCTACCAACCCATCGTTCGAATGGTGTTCGATTTTGAATGGCATTGTTTATGTTTCTATTTGCCAAATAATTAGAAGTAGCCACTGCCTCGCTCCAAAGTTTCAATGGTGCATTTGCATCTATCATCAATGCTCTTGCTTTTTCTAATAGGGTACGGTTTTTACGTTCAGCAACTCCATTTTGGTGTGGAGTATAAGGTGCGGTAAGACGTCTTTGAATACCACACTGTTTTAAGTAAGTGTCAAACTGCTTATTAACATATTCAGTGCCGTTGTCAGATTGTAAAAACTTAATTTTGTTACCTGTGTGTGTTTCCGCTAACTCTTTGAACTCTTTGAATTTTTCAAGTACTTCGCTCTTATTTTTCATTAGATAAACTCTACAGTATCGACTGTAGTCATCTATAAAAGTAACAAAGTATTTATTTTCGCGTATGGTGGGCGTCTGAATAGGTCCACACACATCGCTGTGAATGATTTGTAAACATTCTGTTGTTCTTTGAGTTGTTTTATTACGTGGAGCAGGTTCACGGTGCAGTTTTGCTTGTATGCATACTTCACAGTCATTCAAATCTTCCGATGCATCAAAATTTAAGCCAATTAAGTTTTCATGTCTACGCGCATATTTCAGATCTTTTACGTTCATATGACCCAGTTTTCTATGCCAGTCATTAATACTTGATAAAGTCGTTGATTCCTTCGGAGGAGAACTTGTGACCTTATCATTAGTGACCAAATAGTTCCTTTCATGTTGATCTGGTTTCACATAGTAAAGACCGTCTTTTTGTTTATATGCCGTTAGTTTTATTCCATTTTTAGGGTTATTTACAGTTGCTTTATTGTTAGTAAATAGCACAGAACAACCAGCATCTGTCATCTTACTTACGGACAGTAAGTTGGTGCAAAGGTTCGGTACGTATAAGGTGTCTTGTAAGCGCGTTATTGACTTACTGTTGCCATTTTTAGTTATAAAGGAAACTATTCCTTTACCTTTTATCTCTGCAGTGTACTCGTCCGTCGCAAAGTTAAGTTTTCTGGATGTACTATCTATTGTTTTAAATAAGTCTCGTTGATAAGTCATATGAGACGTGCAACCACTGTCTAATACCCATATGTTGTTTTTAAGTTTCTTATTATTTGTAAAAAGGCACTGCATTATGTAATTATTTTTATGAGAAGAATCAAATTTCTTAGCATGTTTACCTTTATTTTCCTTCCAGCAGTTTGAACAAATTTTATGGTGTTTGTGTTTAAAGATATTACCTCTTCGTTTACAAACTTTACACGATGCATATAAAGCTTCTTCTTGAATAGAGGATTCAGATTCGTCGTTATTGGTTTTATTGTGATTATGGCGAGCTTCATATTCTTCAATTATTTTAATTTTAAGCTCTTCAGGCTTAGGAAGAACATCTCGTGATTCAATAGCGACTCTGAAGTTCTCGTATTCTTTCGAGAGGCTGTATAGCATTAATATTGTTAAAAGGTCTTCATTGATAATTATGTCCATGTCTGCCAGTTTGTTAACTATATCCATGAATTTGTTTAGATGACTTTGTATCTCATGTCCATCTAATTTATTTAGGATTAGTTGTTTCAGTAAAAAAGCTTTACGGGCAGGTCCTTTGCTAGCGTAAATGTTTTGTAGTTTATTCCAAACGGCTTTTGCAGATAGGCATTTTTTAATTTGGTTAAGCTCAGAGGGAGAAATCATAAGAATTAGTTCCGATCTGGCTTGTCTGTCACCTTCTGTTTCAGCTGCACTTGGATCCTTACTTAAAGGACTTTCAATGTATTTCCATAATTTGTTTCTTACTAGGACTGCTTCAGCCTGTATTACCCATGTATCATAGTTTTCTTTTGTTAGGGGATCTATTCTTGCGATCGACATTTTTTTTATTTCGCTTTTTTCTTTTTTTTTTTTATTCCTTTTACTCAACGCTCTACTACCATGTAAAGTTTTAATTAGTCGATATGAAAGATAGATCAGGATTTATGGTGTTTGTTAATATTAAAGAAATACAAAGCTTTTTTTTTATAAGACATTTTTAATCAAACTGTTTATATTTCTTAAAACGAGATTGTTGCTAATGCATCTTCTTGTATGCCAGTAATCAGTATATACATACTTCACAGTTTTTCAGGGAAAGTCATGCGAGTGGCGCTTTCGGAATACGCATTCTCGCATGGCTTTTTTTGTTTTATTTATTGGGTTTACATAAGTAGAGAGGGTTTCTTAGAGTATTTACAATAATAGATTAAAATTAAAGATAAAATATACGAGTCACTAAAATTATTTGCGCCATCCTACTTATTTTTTTTTCAGCGGAGAGGGGAGGAATTCTTTAAAACTATGATAACATTTTAGAAAGCCTGCTGATAAATTATACATAATAAAATTAATAAAGTAAAACAAAACTTATTACCATAAGGTTACATAGAATAAAATTAAGGGTAGACAAAACGCGTTAGATATACGCGGCGGGCATACAATGCTCTCCGAGTGCAATATAATAATGCTTTCAGGATGTTGTTGGGGCTCCCGCGGTACTGTAGCGCATCAGGTATGTTTGCAGATGCACACGTGGATGATTTTTCGTCAATCATCCGCAAACGGACAGCCTCACTGATGCGTGGGGTTCGTGCGAGTTCTAACAATATCCTGATGGTTATAGGTAAACCCGAATGTGATGTTTTGAGACATTGGGTTCATATACATGCCTGTGTACCTGGTGCCTCGAATCAACGTAGATATATGAATTAAATGTTTTCTTCTTTGTGTCTTTAATAATTTTGCTAAATTTAATTGTAATTTTACTAACATAGTTATAAGGATTACTTTACTAACAATATACGGATTTTGTAATGGTCTGAATTAAATGATTTTTATTTTATTTATTTATTTTAAAACTTAGCCAAAACGAAAATAATACAACATTTTACGCAATAAATAACGGCTATATTCTAGTGAAGAAAAACGTGTTTGGAGTCCATTTAGAATATCCTGCCTCACCATTTCCACGTCATCTGGTAAAGGCTTGGTAGAATATAGTTATGGGGATTACCGAACTGCCAGTCATATCTATTACCGCTAATGTCTTTTGTTACTTCCTCACAGGGCTTTAGAATTACGATGAGTTTTTCTATATTAGACCAATCGTTCACCAACAATACTAGAATATTTGCATTTAAATTGGAAATTGCGCTATTAAGTTCCTCTTTCAATAATAATAAGCGCTCTAACAATGAGAATAAGATTAACGAATAGTATGTAGATTTCCACCTGGTATTCCTACCACCACATCAACCTTGAAGAGGTTTTGTTATTGGTTTACCACCTTTGTTCTAAGGCTGAATTTAGTCTCAGGCTCACCGTCAGAGGTCATAGATCAGCGCGTAGTTCATCAGCGCTGAGGCTCAGCGTGGCTCGTTTCAGTATCGTACTGACCGCCTTACTGTACTGACGAAGACCAAAATGCGGAGTGTATTAGTTATTGCTGCTTTGTACTACCTATCTCAAAAAAATTAAAACCGGCGACGACGAAGACTTCATGTTCATCCATTGATTGAGCAGAGAGGCGTTGCAGGAGACTTTGTCTTGTTATATGGCACTTTGAGGGCTGACGAAAGTAAATTCTTTAATTACTTTCGAATGTCAACAAGAACTTTTGACGAATTACTGGCAAAGATACACGATAAACTGGTCCATTGCAGCTTACGACGTGTGCCTATACCACCGATTGAACGACTAATGGTGACTTTAAGGTAGGAATAAAACATATTTACTATCATTATGTTTTATCATAGAAAAGTATGGGCAGAGATATTATACTATCAATCTACTCGTATATATCGTCGGTTCAAAGGTAAAACTCACTAAGTGACATTTTGACACAAAATGAGATATTGCTACCTTGGCTTCTATATAGAACAAATCTACAGTAAGAAAAAATCACTAAGTGCGTATTGTGCTTCAAAACAAAACTGTCAAGTGCCAAAAATCTTTAAGTCCAAATGCTCTTTTATCACTTTACAAGTAAAACTCATTTAGCACTTCATGAATTTTGCCTGAAATCTTTTTTCTTAGGTCAGTTTTAATCTATGGCATTAAAACTCATTATGTCGACAATGAACTTTTTAGTTAGTTTAGTTTAGTCTTTAATTGTGGCGGCAGAGGAAGTATTGCAGTTTGTTTCAAATATGTTACATTATTTTTAAATGAATAGTGGTTTTAATTGTTAATAATGAGTGATTACCTAAACAAGAGGGGTAAAGAGCTAGTTGCTCTCGCATTGACGGACTCCAATTCACAACAAAAACTAGTAAGTTTTTTTTATGTTGGTGTAGCTTGGTTTCCCAATAAAATGTAAAACTAATAGCTAAAGTGATTGTATAATCACATTAACATAAACATTTTAGGATAACCAGAACTACCGCAGTGTACTGGAAGCGCAGCGTGACTTATTTGAAAGTAATACCGAGCATGTCCAATTGGATGATCAAAGAGATGCTGAAGGCGATATTCTTAATAAATCAAGATCATCGGAATGTACTAAAGAGGTCAGACAAGAGAGGAAGGAAAGCTCCAGGAAACAAGACTAGTGAAGAAGATGTTTCATTAGTACAGGAGCACATAGAGAGCTTTCCAGTAATGGAAAGTCACTATTCTAGGAAACAAATTAAAACAATGTACCTTGAAAGTGGCCTTTCTTTTCTTAAAATGTATGAGTTATATCAATAATTTTGTTTGGTAAGGAATGCAACACCTGTAAAGCAATGTACGTATAGGCGCATCTTTTGTAACAATGGGGACCCGTAACGGTTTTATGTTATAAATGCAGTTTTATAGTCCTTGAGAAACTAAAACATAAGGTGCAAAAAATTTTGTTCTACGACCAAAACTGACAAAGTTATGGGCAAAATACCGAACAAGGTTTACTGACCGCGCGAATGCAAGCAATGACGTCACAATATCTCAACGCTTGCCGCCGAACCACAGCGCGCCCCGCGCTGTTTATTCTGTTCGCGATACTCGTCCAACACGGAGCGTCACCAGTTTATACCCAAACGATTAATAAGTGATTTGATTTGTTTAATATTAGAAGGTTTTATTATAATATAACAAATCAGTGGTAGAAATAAGGTAGATATCGGTTTTGAGCAAGCGCAATCCAATAATCTACCTAAATGGTATTTGATTATCTTAGTAATCATTTAAACTACACAAGCGCTGAAATTCGTGGTTGGAAACTTCAGAGGTAAGCAAATCTCATTATCAACCTAATCAAAACAGCAGGATAATAAGTAGGTCAGGAATACAGGGTCGTATTCAGGCCCGGGAAAATTCCCAGTAAGGTTTATGGATATGAACATGTTACCGGGAATATTCTTCTCAATGTTTCTGGGTGCATTGCCAGTCGGAAATCTTATTGTTAGTTAGTTCCTAGTATTGTTAGTAGGCAACTGACAGCACATTGCTGGTAGGTAAGTAAGAAAAGTGCCCGACGAAATGATTCATTTCATTTCAATCTCATTGACTTGCGTATTGTTGTCGTCTAGTTTTGTCAGTGCAAATGAATATAAGAAACAAAGTAATCGGTAGGTATACTTTATTCGTTTACCTTAGATTGTTTGAACAAGTAATCCTAATGATATCGCTAATGTATACGTATTCTAAACGCTTACGATATTTTTTTCAGGTCAGGGCGTGAATCATAATAATATGGTGATGAAGCTGTGGGATTTGTTCAAGGACAAAAAACAGGAGATATATGCACAGTCAAAGCAAAAATTACACCAGAACATAAAATAAAGGGTAAAGCTTATTGCTGCACATTTACTTGTGATGAAACACAAGAAATAATACTAAACATTGAGTGTCATGATTGTGCTGCTCAACTGGGAGGTTGTAAGCACGGTGTAGCATTTTCTTATGTGGCTTTACAAACGAAGCGAGGAACCATCCCCAACAGAAAAAAATGTTATTGAACTAAGCCTAAATTAGCTACGGTGGGCACCACTTTAAAATTTATAAAGAATAGAGATATGGGATCAGGCACACCCAAAAATCAAGATGACAGTTATGTCAAAGGTCAATTTGTAGAAGCTGTAAAAAAAACAGTACAAGAAAATTCTATATATATATATCATAACCAGCTGGCAGCCTATTGCGTACCACAAAGCGCGTTAAAAAAATGTCACTACATGTATTAATAAGTGAGTTTAGAAAAGAGGGTATAGATATAAACGATGCAGCTCATTTTATTGACTATAGAAGACTGTAGCAAAGCAGAAGAAGCAACATTATCGCAAGCTGATTCACCATTGTGAAGGGAACTAAGATACTGCAGAGTAACGGCGTCAAAAATTCACGAAACTGCAAACTGCAAGACTGATGGTGTTTAAGTTGAACAGATTTTCGGGGCATCCATACAGGAGACAGTCGCTATGGAAAGAGGAAAACGTCTGGAACCAGAAGTAAGAGCAGTGGTGGCTAAACTAAACGTATTGTAAAAATATTCGCAAAGAGTTTTAAAAAAAAGGCGTAAAATTACATATTCCCCAAAGCGGGAATGTTCCCCTTTGTTCCGGCATTGGGAAATATTCCTGGGAACGGCACATTTCATTTAGTTGAGCCTCAGTACGACCCTGGGTTTTACCAGACTACTGAGGAAGGGTTATTAGAAACTTCACTACTTACACTTTTTATCATTTATTTATTCATTGAAATATACCTAGTACGACCCTGTATTTTTCTTTAACATTCGTACAAACAAGTTTTACTAAGATACTGTTTACCACATGAGTAATGTAAGGTGTACTGTCACCCCTCTTCATGACAGTACACCATTTTTTGCGCACTTTCAGGTCCCTTGGCACATTAAAAAAACAGTTTTTCAGGTGTACTAGTTGAAGTATTAGTACATTTCGGTACTATACAGTACTTATAATGCGGCATATTTTCACATAAAAACCACAAAACCACAACACGACCCGCGCAGATCGAGTAAACTTTAATAAATGAATGGCGGAGAGCGAGCGCAAGGGCGGTAGGGAAATCGTGACGTCACATGAGCATTTCGGCCGCGCCGCGGTCGGCTTGTGCAAAATGTGTAATATCTTCGCAACCAATTTACCGATTTCAATGATTTAAAAAGTATTGTACCTAATCGAGTAAAAGGAACACCATTATATAGATAATATATGCATTTTCCGACTTGTTACGGGGACCCATTACAATTTCTCCTTCTTTAAACCAAAGAAGGATTTGTGTGCTACTTGTTCCAAGTACAAAGATGCCAGTCCTAAACTAAAGGTTGACATGGAAGCTGAATATTCTTTACATCTTATAAGAAAAACAGAATGTCAGGAGGCTAAAGCCAAAGACAAGTTAAAAGCCAGCGAAGACCCTACATTGGTAACAGCCACATTTGATTTGCAAAGTGTTTTACAATTGCCGTATTCAGGTGTGTCTCTATTTTACTATTCAAGAAAAATCTGCGTTTATAATTTGACAATATATTTGGCTAGTGGAGAAGCACATTGTTACACTTGGAACGAGTTAAATGGAAAGAGGGGAAGCAATGAAATTGGTTCCATATTGTTAATATTTTTGCAGTCACTGCCTGTTACAGTAACAAGTGTTTCCTTGTTTTGTGATACTTGTGGTGGGCAGGACCGTAACCAACAAGTGGCTGCCATGTTGTTGTATGCAGTGAAAAAAATTGAGCATTTGAATCAAATTGAACTTAAGTTCTTGGAATCAGGGCATACACAAATGGAGTGTGATCCAATGCACTCCGCAATCGAGTCTGCAAAGAAACATAAAAGTGCATTTACCATGACAGACTGGATTAACATTTTCCGTTCTGCAAGATCCCAAAGAGGCAAAAATAAAGCCAGTGGTGAGTACATAGTGCACCATTTAAAGTATACAGATTTCTTTGATTTACAGTCTTTGGCATCATCTTCTATAAAAAATAGAAATAAAGATGAAGATGGAAATACAATATCATGACTAAAAACGAAATCGATAAAAGTCGAAAAAGGGTCACCAGACATACTGTTCTGTCGGTATGATCATTCTTCGGAGTACAAGAAGGTAAACATAGTTGGTGGAGGTCGCAGAAAATCAGCTGCAGCACTAGGCTTGAAACCTGCATATTCTGACCCACTGCCAATATCGAAGGCAAAAAAAGCAGACTTGGTCAAGCTTGTTAATGCTGGCCACATACCAGAGGAACTTCACCTATGGTATAGGAATATACCAGCAATTGATGTGAATGGTCCTGAGCGTTTGTCCGAACCAGACGAAAGTGAAGATGAAAATTAATCTCTTGACAGCTGTTCATACGAAAGTTCATGACATTAATGTTTAATCAATTATATTATTTAAGAATAAAAATAATACAATTTAAACGAAGTATTTCATTAAATACAATATTGTACCCTGATAGGAAAAATGGAAAAAAAAGGAAAAATCATTATGTACATTTTATTTTTTTACATACCAAGCATAAAGATTAAAAACAAAAACAATCTAATAGTAATTAAAAAGATATATCATTACATGTTCACAAAAAGTTTTAGTACATTTTATCCATCTTTTGATTTTGCAGACTAAAAAAACGCAAAAACCTAAATATCTCCATTTTGACTATTATGCCACAAAATGTGTTTTACCTTTGAACCGACGATATTATCTATAGGTAAGAAAAAACATTTTTATTATTATAATGTTTCATATTATAAGTAAGAGAAAGAAAAATACAAAGTATTATTAGTAATTTAACATAATATTATTATTATTCATCAGTACGGGTAGCTGCTTGATAACCCGGGTAACCTGGATTCGCATTATTGGTTTCGTACCCTGGGTAACCAGGAGTCTGATAATTGTATGATGATGCATACGAGTCGAGTGTAGACCTTGCGCCATTGACGAGCTATTTGATCTGTTGCAATTTCGAATATCCGTGGCTTCGCGCAACACTCGCGATCTAAACTCTAGCTTTTGTCCTACATCAAAACTTTTTAAAATTGGACCTAAAGAAGCGAAAAAAGCCAGGTCATCCGCGGCAAGATCTGGTGTTTGATTACTTATTAAGTTAATAATTCTCTTTCAAATGGAGATCTTTCTGGATTAGATTTCCTTCTCCTGAAATATTTTCGAACAATGTGTGGACAATGTCCTCCCAGGCTTTGTTTCTTGCATCTTTATTTTTGTAGAGTGGATCGGATGCATCCCACAATTTCTTCCTCAGGCGTACACGCTGACGACGTCCGCTCCGTTCGACACTACAACGCTCACTGAAAGCGGAGGCGCTCTAGCGATCATCAGCGCTGACAGCTACGCGTTGATCCGCTAGCGCCGAGCGTCAGCGTGTCTCTAAAACCAGCCTAAGGCAGTTGTCCCACCAACGACGAGAAAACGACTAACTATCGGCTATTTTCTCGCTCAAGAAACGTACAATAGATATACTTTCTGTGTGAACAAAAGAGATGCATATACAAACAGTTGATCGCTGACTGTTCACACTGCCGGCGAGCACTCGCTTCACTAGTTTGTCGCTGAGCGACAAGAGCTATGAAAGATAACACTCGCTCGGCGATACTCGCCACAGTACACATACAGTGCGTATCTGAAAGTACACGTTTCTTTTAAATTTAATATGAATATCGAAAAATCATTTGAATTATCATTGTTATCTAGTTCAGACGACGATGATGATGAATTCTATGATAGGATTTGTGTAGTGGCTGCGGCAATTCTGAATAAACGTAAGGAAAATATGAAGAAAAAAAGAAGAATATGGATGGAAAATATTAATTATTTCAGAAAAGAATGCAGTGAATTCAAACTATTCTATGAATTAACAAATCATGGCTTTCGCACATATTTTAGAATGACAAGAGACGAGTTTGAATATTTGCATAGTTTAATAGAAGATGACATTAAAAAAGAAAATACAAATTATAGAGAAGCTATTGGTACAAGAGAGCGTCTCGTCATTACATTAAGGTAAGGCTCCATCGCTTGGAGTGATTTCAGCGGCAGACATTGAATCTTGGATCTCTTCGTTTTGGCTACGAGTAGTATGTTCTCCAATTCCAATTTGCTGCACACCAGAACCGCTGGGTTCAGGTGAGGCAGAACCGTGTCCAGAAGAAAAATTTGTCTGACTCGTAGAAGGGCGAGAGTTGTAAGAATAATCGTTTGAGTAGTAACCGGTATATGAATAGTTTGTATTAGCAATATTGTCTTCAGCATCCATTACCAATTGAAACAACTTTCTTTTTATTGTTCTTTGATAATACTCCGGCATCTGCTTTGTACTATGATACATTGAATCAAAAAAAGCTTTTAAAGGATCACTTGATGTTAGTACTTCTTTACGTAACTCATCCCTCTGCGCAGTTCGTTTTGCTCGATTATCATCCATATCTTTTAAAAAATTTAACAAATCTTCGTCATTATGAATTATTTCATCCGTCTTCCTTTTTTTTGGAGCTGTAATCGTATCTGCTGAATCTCTACTAACATCTGTATTAGATGTTTCCTCGAAACTTGTCGAAATATCAGGATGTGGTGTAACATTTGTATCTCGTTCCGCATTTGTCATATATGGAAGCAAAAATTCCATGTGACTCATGTACTTCCAGGGTTTTATTTGTTTTTGTGACTGTCCACTTGTTGTCTTCTTGATTTTTTTTAATTTTTCACGGTGCGTGTCTCGCAAATTTTTCCATTTTAACTTTGCCTGTGTAACTGTAAATAAAACAAATAATTATAACACACCAGATCAAAATTAATTTTATGTTATTAACTAATATTATTTGGTATTTTTATTTATTTTCAGATATCTTATAACCGGAACTACATATACAGCATTGTCAAAAAGCTATAGAATAGGCCGTTGTACGCTCTCCGAAATAATACCAGTAGTATGTGAATCTTTATGGATCAAGTTGCAGCCAAAAGTAATGAAGCTCCCTACTGAACCCGAATGGAAAGTTATAGCAAAAGACTTTTATGATTTGTGGAATTTCAATAATTGCCTTGGTGCAATTGATGGCAAGCACGTGGTAATTTTTTCGCCCCGTAAATCGGGATCACAGTACTTTAACTACAAAAAAACATTTTCGATTGTACTGTTAGCAATTGCTGATGCTCATGGAAGATTTATAATGATCGATGTTGGATCAATGGGCAGATACAGTGACAGCGGAATATTCACAGATAGTAATTTCTACAATGTGTTGCAAAACAATGGATTGAGATTACCCGCAGATGAACCCCTATATGAAGGAGGTTTGCCTCAGCCTTATGTTTTTATTGGTGACTGTGCATTTCCGTTGATGACACATTTATTAAAACCATATCCTGATCATGAAAGGTTGGATAAAGACCAGTTAATATTTAATTATAGACTGAGCAGAGCACGCCGAATGGTAGAAAGTGCGTTTGGTATGTTGGTGCACAAATGGCGTATCTTTTTTAGGCCATTAGATGTTAAAATAAGTACCGCCAAAAAAATTGTAAAGGCTGCGTGCGTTCTACATAACTATGTATTACAGAATGAAATCGAAAAGGCGCCTTCACAGTCAGTTTTTTCTGATAATATGTCAAGAAATTACTCCGAGGTATCTGAACAAAACTCAGCAGATTTTGAAGACGGCTTTTTTGTGAGAGAATATTTCATGGAATATTTTAATTCCGTTGGAACAGTTTCGTGGCAAAATAACCGTGTGCAAAATGTATTAGATTCTGATAGGATAACACATAACTTACATTAGACTCTGCAAAATGAATATTGATTTAACTATAGGTATATGTTGTGTTAGATGTATGTTAAATAAAAAACTTACCACTTTCTATATTTGTTTTCTTTAAAATGTCTTTCCAAGCTGCGTCCTTCACGTCTAATTGTTTATATGAAATCAGTTTTGTGTCCCAAAGACACGGATATTGTCGGACACATTCAATAAAAAACTCATCCATTTTTATTGGAAAATTGGGAACACGTGTATCGCGTATGAGGCCGCAAGACTGACTGGTGACTGTATGCTTGACTGCCGCGAGCGAGTGATGCGAGTAATCGCCCGCCTCACTCGCACACTCGCTTATAGCCGAGCTACACAAATATCGGAACTACGCACTCGCTCCCCGCGTCTCGCTAACTCGTTTCTAGTTCTAGCTCTACTCGTTACTCGTTAATCGTTGCCGGTGAGACAAGTGCCTAAGTCATTCTAAATTCATTACATTTTGAATTTGGGCTTCATTTGTGACTTGAATAGTACAGTTATCGTCTTTTTCCAGATATACTGTCCAACAATACTTGTACAATTGTGTAATAAAAAAAGAACCAACAGTAATACTTAAACAAATTTATTTTTAAATTAAAGTTAAATGTAACGTGTTTAGCAGGTATGTTGGACGCGGAGGATATTATATTCGCGTTTCTTACAATTTTCAATTACGTGTCCCGGGAGCCGGCTTCACGCACAGAATAGGATTTTGTTTGTTGGTCTGAGACGCTTTAGTTTCTAGTAACATTTGCATTTTATCCTCTGAAATTGCCTGGTTAGTGGCCTCATTAAGGCTCTGTGGGATTTTCATCCTAACAAAATTGGATAAGGATAAGAGCTATTACGCACTGTCGACTTGTCGCTGGCGACTCGGTCGCCTCGTCGACCAAAACATAGGCAACTAGGCAGGAGACCAAGCCGAGCGACAGTATTCCAAGTACATTCGTGCAGAATGGATGTCGAAGAAGCTGCTATAGTAGCGCTACTAATCAAGAAAAAGAAAAATAAAAGAAAATCAAGAGAGTATTGGGTACATCCTTTGTTACAAGAACGAAGATCAAAAGGAATGTTTAAACTATTTTATGAAGACGTGAGAAAATACCCTCATAAATTTTTCAACTACGCAAGAATGTCTGTGCGTTCGTTTGATGAGCTATTGTGTCTTTTGAAACCACATATAACTGGCACAGATACAAATTTGCGACCATGTGTTTCTTCGGAAGAAAAATTATTTATAACTCTAAGGTAAGTGTAAATTTCATTGTTTTAAAACCAGAGCTTTTAAGTAACAGTGCTTGCTCGACTTGCAGTGGCACTACCGTAAAAGCGTTGTTTAAATAAAAATATAAGTCTACAATAAAAATATTTGAAGTTATTACATATAATATGTAAAATAAATGTAAATTTCAGGATTCCAAACAGTAATACAAATTATTATCATTCAAATAGTCTTCCATTTTATAGTAACTCTTTTTTATTAATAAAGTTTTAACATGCAACTTAAACCTTTGAATTGGTAAGTCACTTACATGTTGTGGAAGTTTATTATACAGTTTTATGCTTTGGCCTACGAATGAATTAAATGTCTTTTTAAGTCTGATTTTGGGAATGGCAAGCTTATGTTTATTTCTAGTGTTCATACTATGACAGTCAGATTTTTTTGGATTTTTATATTCTTATGAACATATATAATGCAATCAAATATGTACTGACATGGTACTGTAAATATATTAATTTCTTTAAATAATTAATTGGGAGTCACGCGGTTTGAGACCATATATAGCACGTATGGCTCTTTTTTGTAACACGAAAATATTTTGTATATCGGCAGCAGTTCCTCACAGAACATTGATGCTGTAATTGCAGTAAATAAATAAAATAAAATAATTTGACATCATGTAATTATTGTTTAACTAAATCAATACTATATAAACTAATTTTAAATTCAAAGCACAAAAAATAAAATAAAGATTCAAAATAAGTCCAAGTAATCAGAATCTTGCGAGGCACTTGAAGTGGCAGTAGAAACTCGCGACTCTGAGCATTCTTGCGGTGAAGGAACTGAAGTTGGTAGAATATAATTACGCCAAACGGAGTTTGGATATACGTTATTTGGCGTATTGGTTCCGAATGAATCGATCATTGTGATTAATTGAATTTTCGCTGCTGGTTTTTTGTGATCAGGAATTTTCCTAAAAGACGATAAAAGGGACAGCAGAAACATTCTGTCCTCATCTTGTTCCAAAATGTCCGCGTTATTTTTACGAGTATCAATACATTTGTTCAGTGTTTCCAATAATTCTCTTGTGCCATCATCTGAAGGTTTTTTCTTCTTTCTTCCCACTATATTTTCCCTAGAGTACGGTCCTAAAGGTTCTTGATCAGTTGTCGACTTTTCTTCTTCCGTAATGCTACTCTCTGTATTTAAATTACCAACAGTATTTTTCAAAAACAACAGCTGTTTAAAATAAATATAGGGAGTTTTATGAGAAGCAGAAGACCCACTTTTGGTATTTTTTATTCTTCGTATTTCTCGAGCAAAGCAGCTTCTTATATTTTTCCATTTTTTTTGAAGTGATTGACCTGTAAATAAATTGTATTTTTTTATTTCAGATATCTTGGAAGTGGCTGCAAATTTGTAGATCTGCATTACTCATATAGACTTGGGATTTCAACTATTGCTGAGATAATAAGAGAAGTTTGTCATTTTATATGGGTTTTACTGAAAGACATGTGTTTGCCACAACATACAACAGAAAATTGGTTAAAAATCGCAAAAGATTTTCATTTACGAGCCAATTTTCCAAATTGTATAGGTGCCATAGATGGTAAACATATAAGGACTATAAAACCTTACAATAGTGGATCAGTGTGTTATAATTATAAACACTTCTTTTCTATCATTTTGCTTGCCATTTGTGACGCTGACTACAAGTTCGTATACATAGATGTTGGTTCCTATGGAAAGGATAGCGATTCTACTATATTTACACATTCAACATTTTATCAAAAGCTAATGAATAATGATTTACAAGTTCCGGAACATCAGCCTATTTCATCGATAAATCCAATACCAGTACCGTTTGTCATTGTTGGTGACGAAGCATTTGGACAATCTGATAAAGTTATGCGACCATTTGGTGGATCAAATTTAACAACAAAGAAAAAAATATTTAATTATAGGCTTTCTCGTGCTCGACGCTACATAGAATGTTCATTCGGCATATTAGCAAATAAGTGGCAGATTTTTCACAGACCTATTAATGTAAATTTAGATCTAGTAACAAGCATCACCAAAACATGTTGTGTTCTTCACAACTATGTTCGGGAAAGAGACGGATATAAATTTCAAGATACCCTGTGCATTCCTGGCTTAGAAGAAGTGCCACCAGGTATTCAAAGAGCTACGCGACGTGGCATGTCATACAGAGATATGTTTGCTGATTATTTTATGACTGAGGGTCAATTACCTTGGCAGATGAGCAGAATTCATTAAAAAATAAATGACATTTATAATTTACCTATGTTTTTTTTTCTTCGTCTAGTAATCCTTCACCTCCAAATAACTCCACTATTTCTTCCCACTGTGTTTTCTTCAAATCCCGATTCGAATATTCGTCACTTAATAAGTCCCAAATAGCTTTTCGGGATTGTATTTCTATTATAAATTTCTCGGTATCGAAAGCCTGAGCCATTTTTGTGCGCGACGTCCGGTCGTTACGACAGTTGCTCGCAGTGTGAATGCTTCCATTTGAAGCCGTGCTCCTATTGGTCGCCAGCGACCGGCGGTCGCTTGTGTGTCGCCACGACGCGGCGAGTCGCCCAGTCGCTTGGGCGACCGACGACCAAGTGCGTAGACATCTATTTAAACTGTAGAAACTCACAGTCGCCAGCGACCGAGTCGCCGGCGACTAGTCGACAGTGCGTAATAGCGCTAAGGGTAAGGCCCATTATGAAACAGTGTAACGCCAATTCTTCCATAGCGGATATTTTACCGGACAGTTCCACCTTTTTCTTATTAGCTAATGTGTCTAATGCGCAAGGGGGCTCGGAGACAACTGCCGCGCGACTCGTCATTTGCACACATCGACAGCTGTCCTCACAGCAGCTTCAGCAGAAGAGAACTCAACGGTAATTTTATTGCGGCCTACATTTTTTACGCCATCGTGTATCACAGAACTAATTTTGTGCTTATGCATAAACTGACCGAATGTAATAGCACTTAAAGAGGCTCCGGAAGATGGGTCTTCTACTTCCCGGGAGACTTGGACAATGAACTTACTGGAGGAGAGGTAGACAAAATATAGGAGCTGTACAGGCGGTTTGGCTTGAGTGGGATCCGTGATTTTGTTTTTAAGATGAAGGCACATTTCTCTCCTCTCCTTGACGTTTGCGAGACATAGAAAAGGTTCCCGGGTCAGTGGGCTCGGGGTCAGGATCTAGATCCATTTTACTGAAACTGCAGCGACTATATTAGTTTAAATTTTGTACTTTATTAGCACCAATAGGGTTAGTTTTATCTAGATAGCTATTTCAGCTTTGTAAAATCACAGAAACACCGGAAAAACACCGAGCTCTCACTAACACGTGCGTCAACCAAAGCTAACGCGAGCGAAAAAAAAACAAATGCAGATTTAAAGCATGTCTTGTTCGAGTGCGAAACGTTTAACATCCAACGTTTATTACTAGTCAGTGTCATTAGTGATGTCGCAAAAGAAAATTAATTAAATGTGGAACATTCTGCTATTATCTGATAATAGTAGTAGTCCACTTTCAAACACCGCTATTTGACTTTTTACCGGATTGCTCATAAAATTTTAACCCCTGATAGGGTGTTTGGTAATATTGAAAGGCAAATCAGGCAAAAAGAAATTATTTTAACTCCTGATGAGTCTTACGAAACTTTTCGCGGTGTTGGAACTATTTTAAGGTTGGGTCAAGACTTCGACTTTTATGACTGGAAAATCAGTGTAAAATCAGTTTTGAAGATCCCTGGTTCCTGGCATTTTCAATTTAATTTGTCGAAAAGGTTTATGATCAGAAAAGACCACAACAACCGGGTTGCTGTAAAGGGAGAACCCAATTACGATACCGACACTATCAACTTTGGTAATGTATTCAAGACTGGTAAAACAGCTAGTGATATTGAACCAACGAAGTTAAATGTTGGAGCTGAAGTCAAACCTGCTAAGTTACAGGACATTAACAAATTGCTGGTCAAACATCTTGGCATTGAATGGCGTAACCGAAAGTTTCTTAATTTTTTCTTAAATCTCTTAGCTACAGACGCTGGCCAACCCAATGACATCCCAGACTCAACTCAGACTCATTCTTCAACGGAAACTGATGATGAGAATACTCTTATGGAAGAAATAACTGATGATCAAAACAGTCGTTTAAATGTTTAACCGGTGTGACTATGCTCTTGCAAAATTGGCTATACTAGTTTGATACTTTTTTTTTTTTACGTCAGGAAATGCTTTTACGCATATCCCTGCTGAATTTTACTCCAGCAGGGATTATGTGGGACTCAGACATAATATCTACAACCCTACCCACTAAAACCTGACGGATTCCTTCAGCTCGCCAAAGGGCGGAGGCAGGTAACAGCTGAGCCCTATCCTTACCCCCGCCAAACGCGACAATACCACCAGGACTCCTCCGAAATCTTCAGCATCTTAACTTAGGGCAGACGTGCGAAAGCACGGCGTCGCTGCCCCGGTCGTCGTTTTCTTATCGGCGGAGCATCAGAATTATTTTCACGCTGACGCTCCGCATTCTCTTTCTTAGTTATGACGGCCTCACAAAAAGCCTTGAAGGCATCCCAAGGACCGTCATTGTCAGCTTCCAACATTCTTTGGATAATTAGTGGAAGCGACAGATTGCCATCAATGCTATCAGCAAGGACCGAGCGAAAGCCGTCCCAAGCCGGACACTCCTCAACTGTATGCCTCACCGTATCCTCTATACAGTCACAATGATGACAAGCAGGTGTCGCCTCTCTTCCAACGATTCGATGCAGGTAACTCCCAAAGCATCCATGCCCAGAGAGAACCTGAACGAGCCGATAGGAAAGCGATCCCCACCGCCGGTCCACCCAGGGTTTCAAAAAGGGACGAATAAGATCAACGGTTTGTAAACCAAACCGACATTCACTTAACTCATCCCTCTATTCTAGCATAATTAGGCGGCGATACTCCTCCTTCCAGACCTTGACTACCTCCAGAGGTGGGTCAAAACCACCACTCCTGGCTTCAGCTCTTCTCCAAAAAATTTCAGCCAAAGCCAAAGCTTCCAAATGCCAAGGCGGAGTGGCGGCTATGACACATGCCGCGTCACAGGATACGGTACGGTATGCCCTCGCAACTTTACGCTGTGACCGTCTCAGTAAAGCCTTGTTGTAAAATGACAACTTATCCGCCCATATCGGACACCCATAAAGAGCCTTTGCACGCACCACTCCAGCATAAAGGAGCCTACAGCCCCCGCCTGGCCCACCGATATTTGGCATTATACGACCCAATGCCATTGCAGTTAAATCAAGCTTGGGTTCCAGGGCAGCAAAATAAGCTTTGAAAGTCCATCGGGCGTCAAGAACCAACCCGAGGTATTTCAATGTCGACTTTAATGCCATATGAACACCATCCACTATTATTTCAGCGCCTCTAGGTGGTGACCTCCTAGCGAAACATATGACATCTGATTTTTGTAAAGCGACTCGAAAACCAAGTTGTCTTATAGGAGTCACTACTTCTTCCACTCCAGCAGTAACTAACAAACTCGCCTCCTGATAATTACATCCCTTGGCCGTCACTAGTGTATCGTCACCATAACTAGTTTGATACTGTGCCAACACTAGCTAAGTCAATTCATTACTGTAGAAAATCTAGTTACTTAGGGCGTCGACTTGCAAAACTGGTTATTTGTAATTTTTGATCTCATTTTTTAATAAAACTTGGTAATAAAACAATGAACACTTATTGTTTTCTTTAATTTAATCCCATAGACAGTGATCTGCCACAGGTTTTGTGCTTTTGTTGTCCACAGATATCTCAGTATAGTTTTTTTAACTTTTTGTAACTACTGTTATTTTATGGGGTACTGTGTTAAATGTTACAATAAAATACCTTTAATATCAATTGAAATGTTTTATTAAAAGTACACTTTGTAAACAAGCATATTACAAATTAGAGGAGTATATTCAAGATAAGAATGCTTGGAAACATGCTGGTCCTGCTCCATAGGACAATCATAGAGCCTGGACAAAATCAAATTGGTTGCTGATTTTTTGCTTTTACATATTTTTGTTATTTTTTTAAATTTATAATACTACAAAATGTAATTATTTTATTGTATCTCACTTCTCTCACTTATTACTCTTTAATGTATAATATTCTACGGTTTCGATATTTGTAAATATGTGAGGAACATGTATACTAACTTTTTTAGTATAGTAGTTTTATTCTAAGAGTACATTGTATTCACATATAATTATTTAACTAATTTAAACAAAATATTGTAAACCTATTTTAAAAGAGTAACTGTGGAGTTTCTTGCCCGTTCTTCTCCACACGAAACTACCTTTTGGAAGGGGCAACTAGAATCTTTATATTTTATTTGACGTTCAAAGGTGCCATTGTAGGTGGTCTAATTGAAATAAATGATTTGACTTTGAATACCAAAACATAGATATACGCCAGAGATGTATAATGAAGCATTAGTGTTGATCGAGGATTTATGTGTTTTAATTACAAATTTACCACTTAATCATTATGGTATGCCATCACCTGATCGCCCAGACACCGACTTAGTCAACACCGATTTACAACGAGAAAAACAATACGACCATGGAAATTTAGCAACAATTATCGTGAGCAATGAGCCATTACTGACAGCAGAACAAAAAAATATTTATGATCGGATTATGCTGGCTGTTTCTGCTGAACAAGGGTTTTTTTTTTCTAGGACGCACCCGGTGGAACCGGTGAGACATTTTTAATATCGTTGATTCTTGCCAAGATACGGTGGCAACAGAAAATCGCATTGGCAGTTCCATCGTCAGGCATTGCGGCTACTTTGCAAGATGGTGGGCGAACGGTACATTCAACATTTAAGCTGTCATTGGACATTCATAATAAACCAAATGCAATGTGTAACATAAAAAAGAATAGTGGAATAGCTGCAGTATTGTAAAAGGTGAATCTTCTTTGGTGGTGATGAGAATCAACAAATGGGATATAATTCTCATAATAAAGTGTTTCATCAGGAACAAGAGAAAAAGCTATGTAAATATTTAATTAAGGCTCATATCAAACTCAAACAACGGCTAAAAAAATATATAAAATAAAATAATAATATATTTAATTAGATGTGCTGACATATATTTTGGGCTGACTAAAAAGGATGTTAGGAAATTGGCATATGAACTTACTATCAAGTTCAACTTATCACGCCCTGTGTCTTGGGATGACAGGGAAATGCCTGGTGAAGAATGGTTTTGCTTGTAAGTGAAACCACCCAAGTCACAAGAGTACTTTTTAAAAGAAACAATAATCAAGAAAAACAAGGAACCGCTTAACATGTTCATTCCCTCTTTCCACCATCAGGAAAACATAAAAAATATTTATGAAATAAAATCCATACTTGGCTGCAAAATTGATGTACAGCCACTGAAATCACCGAAATTGATTTCCCAATGCAAGAGGTGTCAGGCACACACAGAAATACTGCTCCAAGGAGCCGAGGTGTGTAAAATGTACTGGAAAGCACCTCACAGTAGACTGTAACAAGCCACCAGACGCAAAACCGAAATGCGTTCACGGTGTTGAGTCACACCCAGCAAATTACAGAGGCTGTGTTGTAGCAAAAAAATTACAGAAAATTAGAAACTTCTTAAAATCAAAATCAAAGACTGAAACGGGCAAATCTGTAAAACCAGCAAAATTAGTTTCCAAGACTGTATCCTTTGTTGACGTAACTAAAGGTCCCGAGACTATCCTCAACACAACAAAATGAGACATCTAACACAGGTATGAAAAGATTAACACCATACTTTCATTATTGACATCCTTTGATGAAAGACTTCAAAAACTAGAAAGCAGCACCAAAATAGCAGCTTCTAAACGTCTTAAGCAATGATGTCTTTAAAAATAATGGCATGGAATGCTAAAGGGCTTTTAATACACCAACAAGGCTGAAAAGATTTTTGTCTTCACAAGTGTAGTGTGATTTCTATGACAAAATTTTGAATGGTGACATAGATTCTACCTTACTTGATGTAAAGGGTCTTTCAATAGGGACTTCCGAACTTTTACAGTTGATAGCGGCCATCTTGTTGAAGCTTAATCTGTCAAATTGGCTGTCATTTATTCAGTCTGTTTTGCCAAATCACCATGGATCGATATAGCGTTCAACAACACGTGCAAATGATAAAATTGTTTTATCAAAATGGGTGTTCTGTTCGGGCAACGTTCCGCGCGCTTCGCCCATTTTACGGGCGCCATAATCGTCCTACCGAGAGGACTATTCGCAGTGTGGTGGATAAATTTGAGTCCACTGGTTCAGTAAACGATCAACCAACACCCGTACGTCGACGAAACGCAAGATCTACCGAAAACATCGCCGCTGTCTGTGAGAGCATGCAGGAGAATCCGAGGCAGTCGATTTCGCGTCGCTCACAAGAACTCGGCCTTTCACAGACCACAACTTGGCGAATTTTGCGTCGTGACTTGGGCCTGCACCCGTACTAAATTCAACTGACCCAGGAGCTGAAGGTAAACGACCATAGACAAAGACTTGTGTTCGCTGAATGGGCTCTGGAGCAGTTGGCAACTGACCCTAATTTTCATCGAAAAATCATCTTCAGCGATGAGGCCCATTTCTGGATGAATGGGTACGTGAACAAACAAAATTGTCGAATTTGGGCCGATACAAATCCACATGAGATCCAAGAGCGTCCAATGCATCCCGAAAAAGTCACTGTTTGGTGTGGATTTTGGGCTGGCATCATCGGTCCATATTTCTTTGAAAACGACGTTGGCCAGGCCATCCTCGTAAACGGAGAGCGCTATAGGTCGATGATTACCAACTTCTTTTGGCCTGAATTGGATGATATGGACACCAACGACATGTGGTTTCAACAGGACGGCGCTACGTGCCACACAGCTCATGCCACATTGGACATTCTGCATGAGCGGTTCGATGGCATGGTCATCTCACGTGGAGATGATGTGAACTGGCCACCGAGATCGTGCGATTTGACCCCATTAGACTATTTCTTGTGGGGTTTTCTTAAGTCGCAAGTCTATGCGAATAAGCCACAAACCACAGCGGCCCTCAAAGCCAACATAACCCATGCCATCGGTCAAATTCAGCCTGATTTATGCACCAACGTCATGGAAAATTGGACATTTCGGATGCGCGCCACCCAGAGAAGCCGGGGCGGACATTTGAACGATGTTATATTCTACACATAATGACATCGATAGGCCTTTCAAACGAATAAAAATTGTTGATGATATCTAACACAAATTTTGTTTTATTTAAATTTGAAGATAGGAAGCCCTTAATGAAAGACCCTTTAGATATTGACCCATAAGATAACAGTAGCGGAGAAGTGATCGAAATTAGTGGTAAGTAAAGGATTTATTCAGTTTCATAGGTTTTTATTAAAAATAAACAGGAAATAGTACCACAGAATGCTGTTTTAATTCACTTTTTTTACAAATTTTGTCACAAAAACAACTTATTTTTACAAAAAGGACATAACTACTGCACATATATCTTAATTTCATAAAAAAACTGTGGCTAGTATCATCGTCAAAATGTATTCAAATATCACTTACTAATATTAGGTCCTTACATATGAAATCGGCGTTTTTCGTACTGGCCACTTTTATCACGATGTTCTCCTCTTTGGTAAGGAATTCCAAATTCAAATTTGTACAGCTATTTACTCATGTATTTGTGCTTCGATGGCCGTCATTCATTTGTTTTTTTCTGTTTGCGTCACTCATTTTACAAAATGGAAAACTTAAAATATCGCATTATTTACGAGTACGAGTTCCGCCGTGGCACTAGTGCTGCGGAAACGACTCGAAGGGTGAATGATGTGTATGGCGGTCATGTTGCAAAAGAAAACACAGTTCGTTTTTGGTTCCAACGTTTTCGTTCTGGAAATTTCGACCTGCAGAACAAGCCCCGTGGACGGCCTGAGACCCAAGTTGATAATGAAGTATTGAAGGCTATTGTGGAAGCGGATCCATCGCATACCACGTCCGAGTTAGCTGCAGGCTGCGGTGTTAGTGATAAAACTGTTTTAATTTACTTGAAGCAAATTGGGACGATTAAAAAGCTTGAAAGATGGGTACCTCACGAATTGACTGAAGCAAACCGGCAAACGCGCGTCGACTGCTGCGTTACATTACTGAACCGGCACAATAATGAAGGTATTTTAAACCGAATCATTTCCTGTGATGAAAAATGGATTTTTTACAATAATCGGAAGCTCTCAGCGCAATGGTTGGATCCTAGCCAGCCAGCCAAATCCTGCCCCAAGCGAAAATTAACCCCAAAAAAGTTACTTGTAAGCGTTTGGTGGACTAGTGCCGGTATTGCTCATTGCAGTTTTCTCAAATCTGGCCAGACTATTACGGCTGATGTCTATTGTCAGCAATTGCAAACCATGATGGAAAAGCTAGCGGCTAAACAACCTAGGCCGGTCAATCGCTCCACGCCACTGCTACTTCACGACAACGCTAGACCACACACTGCACAACAGACGGCTACCAAATTAGAAGAGCTTCAATTGGAATGTCTAAGATTACCATTTTTTTTTCGAAATTTGGACAACTTCTTGCAAGGGAAAAAATTTAACTCTGATGGGGCAGTCCAAATCGCCTTCACAGATTTTATTGATTCCCGTCAGACTAGTTTTTTTAGTAAAAGGATCAATGAACTACCTATGAGATGGCAAAAGTGCATAGAAAACAATGGTTCATACTTTGATTAATTAAATATATTATATTTAAAAATATTCGACTTTTTGTTCCTCCCATACAAAACGCCAATTTCATATGTAAGGACCTAATATATAGGTGTTACCGAGTAACATTCAGTTAAAGAAGAGAAAATTTGTAGATTCCAGAAGATTTTTTGCTCCTACTGCATGAAAGTCCTCTAAAAAAATACATTGTTTTTGTAAAAAGCCCTTCAATTGTTTTAATGTCTGTGCACAATGAAATTGTCATTTGTTTCGTTTTCTAAGGGTGCGTACAGACTATGTAACATATTATATAACTTGTATTTTATAACACGTCCACATTATGTAACGTTGTTATTCAACATTATAACATAAAACAATACTGTACACATTAGAATAACAATGCAGTATAACAATGTTATATAACCATTGTCGTTCTCCAGTGCTATCCACAATGTCGACACGAGAGGACGTTTTGCTGGCTGCGGCAGCGACTGTGGTAATTTTAAATAACAAAAGAAAAACAAAAAAACGTAGATGCTGGGTTCATATCAGTAACATAACAATATAACATTGTGGTACATATCAATAACATGTTATTATAACATTCAGTGTCCACATTATCTGAAACATGTTGTATAGCAATGTTGTATAACATGTTATGTTATATAGTCTGTACGCACCTTTATAAATAGTGTAATACAACTGCGGGGGGCGGGGGCCGGGCGAGCGTGTGATTTGGACAACATGTGGCTGAAAAAATGAGAAGTTTGCCGCCAAATGTCGCAATACATTGCTAAAAACTTATTAATGATTGTTTATATTATGGCGCCCTTCGTAATCTGAATTTTACGTCCAGAATTGTAACTGATCCAGTGCCAATAACAATTGTACCTGAATCTCAGCTGTTAAATTCACAACATACTGATAGTTTAGCTGATTTCACTGAATAACAATTTTTTTTAATTGTATCCTTTATTAGTTTAGTTTGTTTTTTTTTTCCTGTTTAGTTTATTTTATTACTTACTAACTTTTATATCATAAAGCAACAAAATGTAAATAAATAAATAATTGTAACTTGATTTTTATAATAAATATGTTCATAAATATAACAGTTCTTTTTACTTACTTTCATATAATCTTTAAGAGCAAAAATAATAGCTTTACATGTATCAGGAATTATCACTCCCAAACGTTGTGGAGAGATAAGTGTAGGAAATTTCAACTCCTCATATGACATGTCCGAAGCTAAGAATCGAAGAGTGGCACTAAGTCGTTCATGAGGACTTATAGCTTCCCTCATATTAGTGTTTTTTTTCTGAATCAGCGGAGTCACCAGTTCCAAAAGTTTAAAATAGGTAGGTTCATCCATTAGCATATAATTTCTCCAGTCAGTTGGCTCCAAAGTCAATCCCTTTATTAAATTTATGTGAGTGAGTTGCGATCTTTTTAGCAACCAATCCTTACACCACTTTATTTTTGGCTTCCGTTTTTTTAAAACTATACAAATCGCTATGGTCGATAAAT